ATTATTAGTTGTTATGAAAATAAAAGCTGAACTAAATATGGGTAAAATTTAACCCAAATCTAAAGAGCGTTAACGAACAATCGCGGACTCAATGTGGCCGGAATGGTTGCGGATTTGATACTTAGAAAAGAACTAAATGAAAATTCAGAATAATATATCTGCGCTTATCAGAGTCTAACTTTTTTCGACTCAACTACTTCACTTACTCATGTTTCGGCCTGACTCTAGCTATACCCATTTGGCAAATTGAGTTTTCTGCAACCGTCACCATCATCAAGGAATCCTTATATTTGAAAGGATTTAGGGTAAACAAGAAAGGAAAAAATCAATATACATACGTCTTCATTTCACATTGAATCACTGATATGTACCTGAATGAAAACAAGAAAAGAATGAGTCCTTAAAATTCCTACTACAGACTCGATTACTTTTTTAAGGTTCGTACAACGGTTGAGGGTAAACTCAAAATGGAAAAAATTGTTGGCGCTGATCTAATCACAGTCGACAGTTGTGTGTCAAGTGCATGGACAGTTCGTGACACGGTCACCAACTATAAGGTAAGAATTCGTCGGTGCATATAGCCACATTCAAAATAAAACACACAATGTCTCTGTTGGGGGTCGTTGTGACTCCGCACATATTGTTTGAAGCACATTTGCACTAAAGAAGCTGCATTAAATCCACACACACATTGTTGTTATTCCAGATCAAATCGACTATTGGAAAGAAGAGTCTCATTCTGGAAGAGGTAAGCATTTGAGTTGGAAAATTTTATGTTTACAAAAATTTCTGTTTATAGATCAAGGATGGGCATTCCAAATTTAAAATTACGTTGATTGAGAACGGAGAAACGAAGATGGAACGGGAGGCAACACTCGAAGTTCCTGAATTTATGGTACGAAATATATAATTTGCATTTCAGCGTAGTAGTTTTGTGAATATTAGGCATATTATGCTAGTATACGCGATAGGTATACAGTAGAAAGGCATTTTTCGCAAACCGTCTTCGCCTGAAGTATTCAGACCAAATCAAATCTTCAATTTTCTTAGAAACTATAGCGCACACAAAGGTCTTCCAATTTTGAAAATCAGTGATAGAATAGAGCTAATTAGCCCTTGCTTCCTGTTTTGTTTTAGTTTGCAC